AAGAAAAGAATATAGCGCCACAGCAAAATAATTCAAGTAAAAATTCAACTATAAAATAATAAAATATAAACAAAAATGTTTATAAAACTGTTCAAAATTCAAAACCGAGAGACAAAAAAATAATTATTCTTAAATTATTTGTATTGTTATTATTATTGTTATTTTTATTACTATCGCTACTGTTTTTATAAACCATTCACACACTTTTGTCTTTCCCCAGTTGTCATGGGTAAGTGACTACAGTCGCTAAGTCAAAGAACTTTTTTTACAACTCCAGTTACTATTTTTATATCAATTAAAAATATAAAATTATTATATATTATATCATAAATTGAAATATATAAAATTATATAAAAAACATATAAAATAAAATAAAGTTTATTAATTACATATAATTACAAGTAATTACATATAAAATAAAATAAAGTTTATTAAAACGATGCATTATATATACATAAAAACAAAATTTAACTACGTAAACATTGCGTCAAAATAAATATTATTTTCCGTTAGGTAAGCTTTAAAAAGTCACATCAGTTTCTCATGTTTCAATGTTTGTTGTTCTTAGCAGTGTCAGACTTTCTACTGTTTGTCTATTGACAATCTGTAGAAAGTCTGACACTGTTTTATGAAAGTATTGCCAGCTGAAGAAAGTCTTGTGAAACTAAAGAAACAAGCTTGTAGCTCTAACAGCATATTGAATAACTTTAAATATGTTGTACCATATATTTTTGTACAATGAGTTTAAAAATCTCAAACGGAAAAAAAGTATTATTTTGGTAAATAACAGCAACAACAACAAACAAAAAAATGAAGGTAACATGTTATGTATTGGTGTACTTATGTATATGTATTAGACACTTGTCTTTCACAACCGTTACTTACTTGTAATCAAATCTACTTGCATTTCATGTGTTTAAAGACCTGCTAATAATAGCCAACAAATAACTTACATTTTAATTTACTTGTATTTTGCCTAACTTAAATTTTATAATATCTATAAATTAATGTTATTTCTTCTCTTTTAGAATACAAAACTTGTAATATCAATTGTTTTTTTCAATCACCTTTTTGTTGCTTGGTTATTTGAACTCAACGAAAGCAGCAAGAATATATTTCAGTTCACACATGTTATCTCGATGTTGCACAATGACATTACTGCTAACAAAACAAATCTACAAAATTTGTATGACAAAGTCGAAGAACTTTTAGCAAACATGATAAACATAAAACAGGAAACAAGCAACAAAAATCGAAATAAAAGACCTTCTCAACTTAATCAGGGCATTTCAAAGCAAATGTGTTCTGAAATAAAAAACATCATAGCAAATGGTAACAATACTTACGAGGTTGTAATGAAGTTTAATTCAAACAAAGTTGACTATTTTAAATCTGCAATGTCTATTATATCAATGAATTGCGAATCAAAGAGTGATGTAACTTGTGAAACAATATATGAAACGAGAAAATACGCAAAGTTGAATATAACCGGAGGAATAATTGAACTTATAGGAAACGTTAAAGAATTTAAAGTTGGGATTTGTTGCAAATGTTTAAAGGGTTTTTAATATACTTTTTAAAAAAGATATTTATTATTTACGACTCAGTTTGTATTTCAATTGTATTTTTTATAAGTTAAATATCGATTTTTTTCATTGTACTAGTTAATTTATTGATTGCATCGGTTGCTATTTTCAATGAACTCTATTCTTGAAATAATGTTGTAATAGTTATAGGTTGTCAAAGCGCAACTGAAAATATATACAGAATTATTTAAGTTTTAAATTTAAAAAAAAAAGAGTATATTTATAAAATCGTATTTTATATTGAAAAAAACATAAAACTTTAAAGCTTGGTAGGTAAACAATAAAAAAAAACTTAAACAATTATTTTTATTGTTTGGCTACATTGAGACATTGAATTTAATTATTAATTAAATCCTGGGTCCGCAGGGTGGTAATAAAAAATACATTTATGTATATATATATATATATATATATATATATATATATATATATATATATATATATAGTATATATATATATATATAAATATATATATATATATATATACATATATATATATATATATATATATATATATATATATATATATATATATATATATAATATATATATATATATATATATATATATATATATATGTATGTATGTATGTATGTATATAAGTATAAATGTATTTTTTATCACCTGGCTGACCCGGACCATCTAGTAAGGGGGATTATTTTCAGTTTCTTTTTGATTCTACCATCGAGGAAAGAAGATAGAGAAAGAAAGGGACGTTTTGTCGCAAAACTTGCTCAGAGGTGGGGTTGAACTAAAGATCCTTTGTTTCTGAGGTAAATGCGCTACCTCTGCGCCACAACTGCTCTCATCTTAATTTATGTAATCTTGAATCTTAAACTGTCTTAAACTATGTAAATATGAAGTCACATACTGATGTCCCGATTTCTTATCAATCTCAAAAGCCAACTTATTTTACTTTCGTTTTCAAAAAAAAATACTGTATTAAATATATACAAAATATAATTCTTTCCGACATATCTAAGTCATCCACTAAGTAACCGATGAGCAAAATTACATAGGGTTGATTAAAATGTCTATATAAGTTTACTGAAATTTTGCAATAGAATGTTTGCTGGATAGCTCTTTTTCTTGTGCAGCTCAAATAAGTAACTTTATTTCTGTGCAAATAAATATCTGTGTTTTATCACTTCAAGTTTTAAGCCTAATCCAAAGAAATATAAATGATGTTAAATGAAAAAAAAAACCAACCTTATATTTACCCTAAAATTCTCGGGGCAAAAGGAGACATCCATGTAGGCATGCAACACCAATTCAGCAGCGTCCTAAAGTTTAAAGAGAGACACTTGTTTTGCTTTAATTTTTGAACAACGCATTCAATATTTTTGAAATTTTAACTAAATATAGCTAATAATACTTTTTATCTGAAAATGAAAACATTTTTTCAAACTAGTATTCTTTTATCTAATTAAAAAGAAATAATTGTTACTCTTTAGTTCAAAAGTTTAAGGACACTTGTAGTTTTACTAATTAAAGTTAATATGCATTTATGGTTTTAAAAAATTAGATATCATTTCAAAGTGTCAGTATTTCAATGGATAACCTTTAAAATCAAAAACAGTCGAGCGATGAGGCAGCATTAAGTTTACTAGTTTAACTATAACATCTGATTGAATCTTCGACTATTCTGTTAAAACGAATAAATCATTCTTACTTGCTGGTTTTTGAAATTTTTTTTTTTTTTTATTGCTATATAAATTTATTCAAGTTGTAAAACTTAATATAAATACAAATAGCAGGGGCAAGAAGAAGACATTTTGGTGATAAGACAGTTTGTCTTATCACCAAGCCCCTTAGTCTATACCGTAAATATAAAACAACAAAAATTGGAAAACCTAACTCTATATAATATAAAAAATTTTTCCAAAGACTTTATAAAATAAAAATCATAGGTCCCAATGTCCTACTTTAACTTTTTGTTTTTGTATTGGTTAAAAAAATATAAAAAAGTAGTTAGTATAAAGAAACTATATTACTAAAAAGCATGCAAGCAAATACGCAAAATCCTGAAGCTTTCCTTTTACACCAGCATATAACTTGAAATACCTGAATAATTCTTATAAATCATAATTTTTTATAAAAAAAAAAAAAAAAGAACTGAAGCAATAGTAAGTGGCACGATCTATTTCTAAGATCGTCAAGCCGCTAATGACAAACCTCTAATTATTGGGTAAGTTTAACAGAAGCAACCATTAACACTTCAGAAAAAGCTAAGCTTCATCTTCGTTCATCCATAGTTTTTGCTTAAATTTGTTTTTATACTCAGCGAAGAAATTTTTTAAATTTTATTAGTTACTATTTTTACTTAGTTATTATAATATTAGCTACTATCTAATTCCATAATTTTGGTCCTCTAGTAGAAATTAGTGGATAAAGTTGGCAGAACACTTGCTCAGCTGTGCATCAAATTATAATTCTAACATTTTTTCTTTTATGTTTTGTATTTTATTAAGGTACACAATAGTTATTTTTTTGCTTCTTATTTGATAGATAAATGTTTATACTTTTAAAAAAAGTTTTTTGATACTTTGTTTTCTGTTAGTACTTGCGTACAATCTCAATTTTTCCTTAGTATCTCGACTCTCCCCTAGTAATGATAATAATAACAAGAATTATAATAAAACAACAATAATAAAAATAGTAATAATAATATTAATATTAGAAAATATTATAAGAATAGAATTTAACTATATTATGCAACTACATTTTTATTAAAAATATTAAAAGACAAGTAATATTAGAAAATGTTAAAAGAAAAGAATACAATTAATATTTGAAAATATTAAAAAAAAAAGAATACAAATAATATTAGAAAATATTAAAAGAAAAGAATATAGCGCCACAGCAAAATAATTCAAGTAAAAATTCAACTATAAAATAATAAAATATAAACAAAAATGTTTATAAAACTGTTCAAAATTCAAAACCGAGAGACAAAAAAATAATTATTCTTAAATTATTTGTATTGTTATTATTATTGTTATTTTTATTACTATCGCTACTGTTTTTATAAACCATTCACACACTTTTGTCTTTCCCCAGTTGTCATGGGTAAGTGACTACAGTCGCTAAGTCAAAGAACTTTTTTTACAACTCCAGTTACTATTTTTATATCAATTAAAAATATAAAATTATTATATATTATATCATAAATTGAAATATATAAAATTATATAAAAAACATATAAAATAAAATAAAGTTTATTAATTACATATAATTACAAGTAATTACATATAAAATAAAATAAAGTTTATTAAAACGATGCATTATATATACATAAAAACAAAATTTAACTACGTAAACATTGCGTCAAAATAAATATTATTTTCCGTTAGGTAAGCTTTAAAAAGTCACATCAGTTTCTCATGTTTCAATGTTTGTTGTTCTTAGCAGTGTCAGACTTTCTACTGTTTGTCTATTGACAATCTGTAGAAAGTCTGACACTGTTTTATGAAAGTATTGCCAGCTGAAGAAAGTCTTGTGAAACTAAAGAAACAAGCTTGTAGCTCTAACAGCATATTGAATAACTTTAAATATGTTGTACCATATATTTTTGTACAATGAGTTTAAAAATCTCAAACGGAAAAAAAGTATTATTTTGGTAAATAACAGCAACAACAACAAACAAAAAAATGAAGGTAACATGTTATGTATTGGTGTACTTATGTATATGTATTAGACACTTGTCTTTCACAACCGTTACTTACTTGTAATCAAATCTACTTGCATTTCATGTGTTTAAAGACCTGCTAATAATAGCCAACAAATAACTTACATTTTAATTTACTTGTATTTTGCCTAACTTAAATTTTATAATATCTATAAATTAATGTTATTTCTTCTCTTTTAGAATACAAAACTTGTAATATCAATTGTTTTTTTCAATCACCTTTTTGTTGCTTGGTTATTTGAACTCAACGAAAGCAGCAAGAATATATTTCAGTTCACACATGTTATCTCGATGTTGCACAATGACATTACTGCTAACAAAACAAATCTACAAAATTTGTATGACAAAGTCGAAGAACTTTTAGCAAACATGATAAACATAAAACAGGAAACAAGCAACAAAAATCGAAATAAAAGACCTTCTCAACTTAATCAGGGCATTTCAAAGCAAATGTGTTCTGAAATAAAAAACATCATAACAAATGGTAACAATACTTACGAGGTTGTAATGAAGTTTAATTCAAACAAAGTTGACTATTTTAAATCTGCAATGTCTATTATATCAATGAATTGCGAATCAAAGAGTGATGTAACTTGTGAAACAATATATGAAACGAGAAAATACGCAAAGTTGAATATAACCGGAGGAATAATTGAACTTATAGGAAACGTTAAAGAATTTAAAGTTGGGATTTGTTGCAAATGTTTAAAGGGTTTTTAATATACTTTTTAAAAAAGATATTTATTATTTACGACTCAGTTTGTATTTCAATTGTATTTTTTATAACTTAAATATCGATTTTTTTCATTGTACTAGTTAATTTATTGATTGCATCGGTTGCTATTTTCAATAAACTCTATTCTTGAAATAATGTTGTAATAGTTATAGGTTGTCAAAGCGCAACTGAAAATATATACAGAATTATATAAGTTTTAAATTTAAAAAAAAAGAGTATATTTATAAAATCGTATTTTATATTGAAAAAAACATAAAACTTTAAAGCTTGGTAGCTAAACAATAAAAAAAAACTTAAACAATTATTTTTATTGTTTGGCTACATTGAGACATTGAATTTAATTATTAATTAAATCCTGGGTCCGCAGGGTGGTAATAAAAAATACATTTATGTATATATATATATATATATATATATATATATATATATATATATATATATATATATATATATATATATATATATATATATATATATATATATATATATATATATATATATATATATATATATATATATATATATATATATATATATATATATATGTATGTATGTATGTATATAAGTATAAATGTATTTTTTATCACCTGGCTGACCCGGACCATCTAGTAAGGGGGATTATTTTCAGTTTCTTTTTGATTCTACCATCGAGGAAAGAAGATAGAGAAAGAAAGGGACGTTTTGTCGCAAAACTTGCTCAGAGGTGGGGTTGAACTAAAGATCCTTTGTTTCTGAGGTAAATGCGCTACCTCTGCGCCACAACTGCTCTCATCTTAATTTATGTAATCTTGAATCTTAAACTGTCTTAAACTATGTAAATATGAAGTCACATACTGATGTCCCGATTTCTTATCAATCTCAAAAGCCAACTTATTTTACTTTCGTTTTCAAAAAAAAATACTGTATTAAATATATACAAAATATAATTCTTTCCGACATATCTAAGTCATCCACTAAGTAACCGATGAGCAAAATTACATAGGGTTGATTAAAATGTCTATATAAGTTTACTGAAATTTTGCTATAGAATGTTTGCTGGATAGCTCTTTTTCTTGTGCAGCTCAAATAAGTAACTTTATTTCTATGCAAATAAATATCTGTGTTTTATCACTTCAAGTTTTAAGCCTAATCCAAAGAAATATAAATGATGTTAAATGAAAAAAAAAACCAACCTTATATTTACCCTAAAATTCTCGGGGCAAAAGGAGACATCCATGTAGGCATGCAACACCAATTCAGCAGCGTCCTAAAGTTTAAAGAGAGACACTTGTTTTGCTTTAATTTTTGAACAACGCATTCAATATTTTTGAAATTTTAACTAAATATAGCTAATAATACTTTTTATCTGAAAATGAAAACATTTTTTCAAACTAGTATTCTTTTATCTAATTAAAAAGAAATAATTGTTACTCTTTAGTTCAAAAGTTTAAGGACACTTGTAGTTTTACTAATTAAAGTTAATATGCATTTATGGTTTTAAAAAATTAGATATCATTTCAAAGTGTCAGTATTTCAATGGATAACCTTTAAAATCAAAAACAGTCGAGCGATGAGGCAGCATTAAGTTTACTAGTTTAACTATAACATCTGATTGAATCTTCGACTATTCTGTTAAAACGAATAAATCATTCTTACTTGCTGGTTTTTGAAATTTTTTTTTTTTTTTATTGCTATATAAATTTATTCAAGTTGTAAAACTTAATATAAATACAAATAGCAGGGGCAAGAAGAAGACCATTTGGTGATAAGACAGTTTGTCTTATCACCAAGCCCCTTAGTCTATACCGTAAATATAAAACAACAAAAATTGGAAAACCTAACTCTATATAATATAAAAAATTTTTCCAAAGACTTTATAAAATAAAAATCATAGGTCCCAATGTCCTACTTTAACTTTTTGTTTTTGTATTGGTTAAAAAAATATAAAAAAGTAGTTAGTATAAAGAAACTATATTACTAAAAAGCATGCAAGCAAATACGCAAAATCCTGAAGCTTTCCTTTTACACCAGCATATAACTTGATATACCTGAATAATTCTTATAAATCATAATTTTTTATAAAAAAAAAAAAAAAGAACTGAAGCAATAGTAAGTGGCACGATCTATTTCTAAGATCGTCAAGCCGCTAATGACAAACCTCTAATTATTGGGTAAGTTTAACAGAAGCAACCATTAACACTTCAGAAAAAGCTAAGCTTCATCTTCGTTCATCCATAGTTTTTGCTTAAATTTGTTTTTATACTCATTAAGCGAAGAAATTTTTTAAATTTTATTAGTTACTATTTTTACTTAGTTATTATAATATTAGCTACTATCTAATTCCATAATTTTGGTCCTCTAGTAGAAATTAGTGGATAAAGTTGGCAGAACACTTGCTCAGCTGTGCATCAAATTATTATATTAGTAAAATTTTTAATATTAATGTTCAAGAGATTATAATTTAACATTCAAGAGCTTTCTGGTGGTTCAACATTCAATTCAACATTCAGTTCAACATTCATTCAACATTCATCATTAAATAAGATTTTAGTTTTTTCTTAAAAATTATTGTTTTTTTTTTTGTCACGGATGATATTTGGAAGAAAATTCCAAGGTTCAGGACCGTATTGGGATAATGTTCGATTACCAAAACGATTGCTGCATTTTGTTTCCTTTAATTTTAGTGTTCTTTCTGACATTGAGTAGTAAGTTAAATTGCATAATGACGTTGGTGCTTCCAGAATAATAGGTTTGTGCATTATTAAAAGAACCTTGAAATGTATTCTTTCTCTATTTTTCAGCCAATGCAATTTGTTAAATTTCTGGTCGTTTACATGATTTTCTATTCTAGTTTTGAATATCATTCTTGCTGCACAATTTTAAACAGAATGCAGTTATTTTAATTGTAACTTTTCAATTCCAAAGTAGAGGGAGTTGCAATAATCTAGCTGCGCTAATATTAGTGAACAAACTATGGTGTGCAAATCTTTGTGCAAAAAGAATTGTTTTATTTTGGATATTTTACTCAATATATTGTAGCAGTTTTTAACAATCTTATTTATTTGTGTTTTTAAAGATTCATTGTCAAGTATGACTCCTAAACTTTTTGCTGAGTCAACAAATCTAATACATTCCTTGTTAATAAAAATACATTTAATAATAATATCTTTTTGAATGCTAGATGGTGCCATATTTAATATTTTTGTTTTAATTAATACATAAGAATGATTCACTCATCCATTTAGATATGTATTAAAGACATTTTGGTATATCTAAGACTATTGCATTATATTTAGATAAAGGAAGGAAGGAAGGAAAGGAGGAAGGAAGGAAGGGAAGAATGAAGGAAGGAAGTAAGGAATGCTTTCTTTACACAAAATTGCACGATTCTAATTGACAATTGTGTTTTCATAAATGCTCAATTGGATTAAGATCAGGACTTTGTGACGTCAACAATAGAATGCGATTTTTTTTGCTGGCACAGACACTCTTAACAGTGAAAATCCATCCTCGTGGCATTTTATCTTTATCATGACTAAGCGTTTTGTTAATGATGATCTCCTTATACACATGCTGATCCACGGATCACTCTAAAAAAATTATTGTCTACTGATTTGGTGTCCAATTTAAGTGTTGTTATTTTTTTTTAAAAAAAACTCAACTGCGAACCTTACGCTTCTATACAAAAACAAGTGGTTTCTTCATTATTTTTTTGCCAAACAAGGAACCATTTCGAAGACAACGTTTGGTGGTCAACACAGATTATTTAATTTGACAGAATTTAGTATTTTAACATTAAAGACGACATCAGATTTTTTTTGATTTTTTTTTTGACATACTTACCAAAAAATTTTTTACTTTTTTATGAATAGTTTTGGGTCAACCTGTTCACTCCTAGTACTTGATTATTTCTTGAGCCTTATATTATTGAACCAGCTGTCCAAGTGCATTCTTGAAATCATCAAATGGATTTGCAACTTGACAATAAGACATTTTTGATTCGACTGATTTTAAGATTAATTTTATTACAGAGGAACTAACTTCTTTTCCCATTTTGAATTGAGAAACATTAAAATTAAGTTCAATATGTATAAAAAACCAATTTAAATATTGCTCAAAACGTAAGCAAATTGACGCCCTCATTAATAAAACTACAAGCGCCCTTAAACTTTTGTACTGCAGAATTTTTTTTTGATTACTTAAATAAATTTTATTATGAAAAAATAATATTAGCAATACTCAGTGAAAATTTCAAAGATATTGAATGCGTCGTTCAAAATTTATAGCGAAATATGTGATTGTTCTTAAACTTTAGGACGCTACCGTAAATAAATTTTTGAGAAATATTAATTGTTTAAATGAACCTTTCTTTCACAAGTTTTAAGCAATTTTGTATTGCCTACTGGGCACCACAACTTTGGAATAAGATTATTTTGCCGAATTTTAATTTTGGTCTGCCTGTTTTTTGCTGTACCTGTCGTACCTATCGTACCTATGTCTTTTCATAAAAAAAAAAAAACTCATTTATTTATAAACAAGATCTTTTGCAATCTTTTTTCTGCTTGTTTACATTTGTTATATTACTTTTGATTGTAACTTTGTGAATTTCTATTTTTTATTGTTGGTTATATATAGTTTACTTTTTTTGTGCACATCTAAATTGAACACGCTTCAACTTAAAAAAAAGTAAATGAAAATTGAATAAATAGTATAGGTTTATGTGCTAAGGCAAAATTTTCCAATTATTCATTATTACATTTTTCAAAACAATAATTTAATAACATAAATTTTAAAAAAATTATGCAAAATAAGGCTAAAAAATAATATATTTGGGCATCTATAAATAATTGTTTTATCAATATTGATAAAAGCACATTTAAAGCTCATTCAACACTAAGTCGTAACTTAATGAACTACCAATGGACGTCTGTGTGTATATTATGGCTTTTTTTTTTTTGTATATATATTAGGGTTGTTAACCGGAGGATTTCGTGCATTTCCGGAAAAACAACATTCTTTCGTAAGGAGATTGAGAACGAGGAATTACATTTTTTCGTACCGAATGTTACAAAACATTTAAAATCGCTGATGTTCATTTCGCAAAAGCCACTTCCGAAATTTAGGATTTCGCAAGTTGACATACGAAACAAAACTATTTTGCAACATACGAAAGTAGCGGTTTTGGAAGTCGCACTTGCGAAACAAACATTTTCGCCAAACGACGTTTTGAAGTCTATAAAGAAAATTTGTTTGCCAGACTGATTTTAATCGTAAAAATTAACATCTTTAAATCCCAAAATGTTTATAATGAATTTTTATTTTCAGTATAATAACATATTAAATTTTTATGGTTTTAGTTTTAGAAATATTGATAAAAAATAAAATTTCTTTCGAAACGAAAGTATTTCGGATCACAACATACGAAAGAATTCTTAACGGAAATAAACTTACGAAACGTGCCATAATAAATATATAAAACGATGTTTTTTGAACTCATTACGTATATTAAAAATAAGAATGATATACATGTTTTTTTTTTTAAAGCATATGAAATTTTTGAAACAGGTTCGAATATGCTTAAGCAAATAGCAAAAAGAGGCTCAAAAATATGCTTTAGCTTAAGCATATATTACTGATAAAATATACCTATTTCAATAACTTCTAAAAGTGTGCACGTTACTAAAGTTCTAGCAGATTTTAAAGGTATGTAGAGTCCTGTTTGAATACGCTTTTCGAATTATAGATCTTAGAAAATATTGCTTTTTAATTTTAATAAGATATAAAATTAAGTATAAGATCGTATAGTTCTATCAGTTAGATACGTGATAATTCGCCGCCGAGATCCGGGTTCGCATCCCGCAGCCATTGTAACTTTTGTTCATCAAACTCTTTTTACTTAAGATAGCATTTTTTGACCTCCATGTTCTATATTACAGATCTTTCGTCACCTTCATAATAGTGGCAACCTCTCTTCTGTTAGTTATTCTTTTAAGATTGAGTTCATTGTGGTTAATTCTACACGTTTCCCTTGCTTTACTAAGTTCTACTTAAATAATGATGAAATGTACGTAAAACAACTTTTTAAAATAATATAAAACATTTTGCTTTAAATCTTGTGCTTTTTGTACAAGACATCTGTCCTAAACTCTTTGTAATAATTTCTAGCTAACTCTGAGTCTAATATAATCATTTCTGAATATAATTTCCCTGAGGCTCCTACAGCCTATTGTGTTCCATTAAAAGTAACTAGTTTTCGAGTCCAGATATTAATTATAAGCAACTAAAGGTTCACATTACTATTCATTTTCCTGGTATATAGAATCCTATTTGCATACGTATCTCTTTCTGTAAATTCTGTTTTATATAGTTTCTTAATTATATAATAAATATTACTATTCACTTAGTTGAATGAACGTATAGCTCATTCAGTTAAGGCATTTGGCCGCGGAGACCCAGGTTCACATCCCGCTGTTTCACATATATTTCTTCTCTTTTTACTCTTTCTGATATCATTTACCTTTAGAGAGATCTCTCGTTCTTTATAATAAAGTATTTAATTGTTTATCACACATCCTCTTTATACTTTTTAAAAAGAAAGGCATACTGTTTATCTGTTCATTGATATATATATATATATATATATATATATATATATATATATATATATATATATATATATATATATATATATATATATATATATTTATATATATATATATTTATATATATATATATATATATCTACTATAGCATATTTATATGCGCAACTGCTCACTTTTTTTGCTAGCCTAAATTAAGTGGGCGTTTTTAGAAAACGATGAGGGAAAACGAAGAATAATGAATGAAAATGTTGCTGACCCATACCAAACCCTCAGTCGATGTAGCAGCACCCCACTGCGAGTCAGGCTATTTGTCAGTCGATGTATGTACTGAAGCCCCCGGCAGCAGGCTGTTTGACGTTAGGTGAGTATGACATCATCACGCTCACCTAACTCAGCAGTATAAGATATATCGTAACATAAAATCTTTTGCGTCTTTTTCGTAACTGCACATTCCGAAATGCTTTTTCAGTAAGGAACTATTTCGTAAGTATTCTTACGAAATGATTTGTTTCGCAAGTTTTCTTTTGCAATACTTTATTACGGAATTTTATTTATTTATATTTTCGTATAGCGCCTTACGGAATGTGCATTTTTGCATGTGCAACTTCCGCAATAAAAATTCTATTACGGTAGATAAAGATGCAAGTTTTGTTTTTTGGCGAACAATCCTAATATATATGTAGGTTTTTTAGAATTAATGACTCTTAGAAAAAAACAAAAGCCAAATAAAAAAAGTAATTAACAACTTTCGTCAAATTAAGTTTTGTTGTGAGAGCTAACTTAGCAAGGAGTCAATACGCAAAACTTCGTAAAATCGACAAGAAAGTTTAAAATAAAAGAAATTAAATCTCTTCTGAAAAGATTTAAGAGCTATAAATAAAATACTTAAATACTAAAGAAATACTAAAGGTATGGATCAAACCATTAGTGACGCAGAGAATGGTTAAATGTATTCAGCAGAAGTTGTGTGGAAAGGATTAAATAATGTGGGATTCAATATTACATTTCCAATTTGCTCATGTCATGTCAATCACAAGCGACAACATACACATTTTTCTCTAGAACTTTTGATGCCCACAAACGCTTGGGAAGCGCTAGACACGTACCTTGTTGGCTAAATAATTAATTCAGGCCTGCAAAACAACTCAAGTTAGTTCAAATGATAAGATATCTTAAAACAATCTGTAGTCAATGAAATTACGGTGTTTTAAAAAAAATGAATAAATCAACTATTACAAGTATTTTCAAAATTTAAAAAAAAATAAAAGTAATCAATAAATTAACTAGTACTATCTTATATTATTATTGAAGAGAAAAAACGTAATTAAAATAATCAATGTATAAAATATATAATTTATATATAGACCGTAAAAATGAAAAAATATCTTTAAGAAATGTTAAAATCCCTTTAAACATTTGCAACAAATCCCAACTTTGAGTTCTTGAACGTTTCCTATAAGGTCAATTATTCCTTCGGTTATATTCAACTTTGCGTACTTTTTCGTTTCATATACTGTTTCACAAGTTACTCCACTCTTTGATTCGCAATTCATTGACATAACAGACGCTGCAGATTTAAAATAGTCAACTTTGTTTGAATTAAACTTCATTACAACCTCGTAAGTATCGTTATCATTTGTTATGATGTTTTTTATTTCAGAACACATTTGCTTTGAAGTGTCCTTATAAAGTTGAGATCTTTTATTTCGATTTTCGTTGCTCGTTTTCTGTTTTATGCTTATCGTGTCCGTTAAAAGTTCTTCAACTTTGTCATACAAAGTTTGCAGATTTATTTTGCTAGTAGCAATGTCATTGTGTGACATCGAGATAACATGTGTGAATTGATAATTACTCTTGCTGCTTTCGTTGAGTTCAGATAACCATGCAACAAAAAGATGATTGAAAAAAACAATTGATATTACAAGTTTTGTATTCTAAAGGAAAAGAAATAACATGCGTTTATAGATATCATAAAATTTTAGTTAGGCAAATACAAGTAAACCAAAATGCCAATTATTTGATTTCTGTTATTGGCCAGATTTTTAAGCACGTGAAATACAAGTAGATTTGATTATAAGTAAGTAATAATTGCAAAAAACAGTTGTCTAATACATATAGATAAGTTCAACAATACAAAACATGTTACCTTCATTATTTTGTTTGTTGTTGTTGCTATTAATTACCAAAGTAATACTTTTTTTTTTCCGTTTGAGACTTTTAAACTCATTGTACAAGAGTATGTAGTACAACATATTTAAAGTTATTCAATATGTTGTATGAGCTACAAGCTTGTTTCTTTAATGCCACAATACTTTCTTCAGCTGGCAATACTTTCATAAAACAGTGTCAGACTTTCAACAGTTTGTCTGCAGAAACTTATTTTTGCTGCTAAGAACAAAAAACATTGAAATATGAGAAACCGATGCGATTTTGTTAAGTAGACTTGACGTAAAGAAACAATATTTATTTTGACGCAACGTGTACGTAGTAAAACAAGTTCAAAATATGTTATGTAAATATAACCGTATGTTTTTTTTTTTAATTTTTTTTATGTAATAAAATTGTATAAATAGGTATTTATAAATAGGCATAAATAGGTTTAGGTTAGGGTAATATGAGCACCCTTGTGGGAAATGAGCTAGCGACTAACAAGCAACTAGCTAGCTTTATAGCAATTTTCAAGCGATTTTTTTTTTCATTTTTCCTTTTTTCCTGATGTCTTTAACATCTTTAAAAATTCGATTTTTAGTGTTGAGTTCTTTATAATTATGAGAATAATTGAACTTTAAACATTGCGATTTTGTAGCAATGTGTCGCTAGCTACATATCGTAGCTTTGTAGCTAACTGCAAAATATCTTCAAATCTAAAGCTGGTTGATAACAACATATTAAAAATTTTTTCAGACCGCGATTTTATTTCGATATGACGCTAGCAACAACAGCCAGTGGGTATTTAGCTTATTAAGCTAGATGCCCTCACAGCCAAATTGCAGTCTTTATCGTTACAAATATCGATAGCTTTTTGCTAACTTAAAAAAGCTAGTGATCCTCGTGGCCAAATTGCTGTCTTTATCGTTACGATTATAGCTAGCTATTCGCTAGCCGATTTCCCACCGGGACCTTGGTAATATGAACATACTTAAAGATTTTTTGGATGTAAGCAGTAAAGTTAAAGTTGATTTGTATTTTTCAAATCGACTTTATGTGGTATTAACAGGAATCAGTACAATTAGCGTAAATTTATATGAAGTAATTTGCGGCTAAATTTAGATGCAGTAATTAGCGGCTTTTTGCGTTGTTAAAATAATATTATCACGCATGAATAATTTTGTGGAGTAAAATTTTGGTGCTAAAATAATGAAATTAATTTTTTCAAAAAGAAAAATATATTAGCTAAAATCCAAATCCATTATTGTTGGAAAAACAATTTTGTTTTGATTTTATTTAAATCTACATTTAGTTTTGAAACATTTAGTTTTGACTTTATTTAAAGATGCCATTTTTGTGTAATATGAGCATGCTCAAATTACCCAGTGTTTTTCATTGAAATTACCTAGTTTAAAATCCTAAAATAGAGGTGGTTTTAATTGCTTTTGGAATAAAAACAACTCAGTGGGAAAAAAGACGTCGAAAAGACGTCTTTAAAAGTCTTATTTATGTTGTCTTTAAGATGTCTTTTTTTATTCGATTATGCAAATCTAAAAGACATTTTTTTCGACATCGAAAAGACGTCTATTTTTATCTAAATCTTGTCATGAAAAGACATTAAAATGCGTCTTTAAGACGTCTTTGTTTATCAATTATGCACTTCTAAAAAGTGTTTTTTCTCGGGGTCGGAACGACTTTTTTGCCATACTTATAAGTATACTATAGTATCCTATACACTATAGTATTCCTAATTTTCATATATGAAAAACTATTTTTTTCAAATGAAAATGATAGTAGCTCTTCATACAAAGTATGACAAAAAGCTTTTTCCGATGCCGAGAAAAAAACCTCTTTTAGATGTCAAAATGAAAGAGGAAGCATTTTCTACATCTTTTATATATTTAAATATTGGAGAATAATTTATAAATAAAACAATAGTATTGTTCAATAGAATATTTATACATCTTTCTCTTTCTTTTCTGTTTCTTGAGCGAGCTTTGTTTCTTGGCGTTGTTGAATAAAATTAACAATTTCACGTCGAGAAATCCTTTCAAACGAGCCGGTTAATACTTCTAGCTGGTTACCACTTCTAAAAAACGAGTGAACATAAAAAACTGTCTATTGCTTAAATGATTAGCTGAGTGGAGCACATTATACTTACCGACTATTAATTCAAAAAGGGCTGATCCTTTTAGTTCACTCATGTTTCTAGCGCGGTCCCTTCTTTTTTAACCCCCTAGGTTAGATTGGGACAGGAGTCAAACGGTAAACAGTCTAAAAATATATAAAAATGAGTGCTAAATAAATTTAAAACCATCAAAATGACTGAACAACGATGTATTTTATCATGTAGTACATAAATCAAGCTAAATATTTGCACCTCTCAGATTTGCTATGAAAGCCAAGTTATTGAAAATAGATATTGATATTTTTCTGTCTTGTATAACATGACTTTTTAATTGAATTTCGCTGAAAATCAATTATGTGTTGTAAACTCATAACACTTCAAAAATATGGTATTGACTAAAGTCTATCAAAACAAAAAAATAGTTCAGCTAATACACCTTGAGTGTTGTTATTGATTTAAACTAGAAAAAAGAATTAGTCAAAGCTCTATTTTTGCCTGAAACATAAAGATGCTTTACTTAACAACATAAAATCATAAAAACTGGCGATATCATTAGCAACACATATGAAATACACATAAACAAAAATGAAGACTAGAAAGCTGCAATGATGTTTACATATAAGTGTACCTTTCCAGTATCATTTTCACTTGATTTTTTGTATCCAAACCAAAAATTTGCGTACAGTTCTAAAGATAAATCTGTTGTCATTATGTGTATTTTTATAATTGCTTTGTTAATGACAGACAACAGTTAACAAGGAAATAACATTTTTAACATAAAAGTTAAAGAGCCGATCTTTTGTATAAACATTTTCATCATTTAACTAAATAAAAACAACAAAATTATACAGATCATTTAAAAATATATATAAAAAAAAAATTGCAAGCCTACTGAATGCTTTTTTTTTTTATTATCGTTCGTTTCACTGGCTCTTGAACAAGTAAATATAGAGAGAAATTATTTACAGGTTTATTTTTTCGTGTGAAAATAAATATTTTAATTTAATAAGTAATAAATAACGTTCTTCAAGCACATTACATTATAAAATTAGTCTAAAAATAAACGGTAAAACTTTTTAAAACACTTACCTGCGACTATATATATATATATATATATATATATATATATATATATATATATATATATATATATATATATATATATATATATATATATATATATATATATATATATATATATATATATATACTATAATATATATATATACACTATAATATATATATGCATTTATATTATGTATATTTTACATAATATATTACTTTATTATATATTATGTAAAAACACATTAGTTTTATAATATTGGTTACTTAACGAAACTACAAGAAACTCTGCAAGTAAACTCTAGCTATTATAACAAAAGCTATATACAGTTGGTATTAAAGACAACTAAAAAATGTACTTGAAAAAAAAATAGTCGAGCCTATCCTTTTGATGATTTATATATATATATAAATATATATATATATATATATATATATATATATATATATATATATATATATATATATATATATATATACATATATATATATATATATATATATATATATATATATATATATATATATATATATATAGGTTAAACCTAAGAGGACCTATATATTGAAACAAAAATTAGGATTAAAATACTTCAGACATCTTAATTGCACTTCTTACTCCTAAAACACATATTTGATAATGATAAAAATATATAATAATATTAAATCAGTCACTTTTTGAAGATCTTTTTTTGTTGTTATTGGTGGTAATCATATATAGTAGTCAAATACCTTGAGGTCGGACAATATAATAAAGTCTTCCTCAGTTAAAAAGAAGAAATAAATAATTTAAAACTTGTAAACTGTGCAAGTCAAAAAAACATAAAGTTAGAACAGAAATCAAAAACTGGAAAAAATTGCTTTAGCAAAAATGTTTTTACATATAAAGCAAAAGTTACAATAAAAAATAAAAGTTTAGTGAAGCTAAGTGACAACGCAAGTTTATGTTTTGAAATGTGACGCTAGAGGTTAGAGCTCAAGACATCTCATTTAAGCAATGACCATAGTAGTACTTTTACAAAATAAAAAGAGGTATCACCTTATAACATTGTGACAGGCCAATGTTTGGCATCTAGAGTATTTCTATGTGTATATTTATAAAGCCTTTTTATATCTTGTCTGTTAGAGAAGAATCATTAGAAGAACAACCCCAAGTATGACAACAGTTTTCCATACAAGGAAGGATTTGATATTTTTTTTTTTTTTTTTTTTTTGTATGTATTTAGGTGCTCCCAGAAGTCCTTACGGTCTTATCATAGAGCACCGCGGGTGAGCATTTAACAGGAAGTTCACGCCTCTTTCCGTACCAATGTCGCTTGTTGGGCTGGAGCTGGCATCGAACCTCGGACCTCTGGATTCTGAGCCAGAACTCTAACCACTGCGCCACGGCTGCTATATTTATTGAGAAAGAGAATTGAATCAGAGGTAAAAAAGTAACAAACATGATATAGAGAAGCAACCTTGCTAAATTTGCAAAAGACTAAATGTAAGTTTTCATTTTGAAATCTTTTCAAAACAGTTTGACCTTATTCTTGGAAGAAAATAATAAGATCAGACTAATGAATTAGAGGTACAATGTTCAATTTACTTTTTTTGTTAATCACTTTATTGAAGATTTTCGAAGTCTCTGAGGTGTATATATTAGCGATGAGACAAAATGCATCACTAAAATTTTTTAAAAAAATCCTATTTAGGCTTAGGGTTGTAGTAAGTAGTGCAATGATAGAGCCCGAAAAAGAAGTACAAGATAAAAGATTTATAAATATTATTTCATGGTCAGAACCTCCTAAAGGAAAACAAGTAAAAATAAAACACAAGCTATTTGTCAAGGACAAGACACAAATTAAAGTTTTCAATATTACGAGTAACAAAGTTAACTATTTGGGTAAGAGGTTCAGAAATAAAGAGATTATAAGCTTTAATGCGTGTTAGAGCCGTGGTCATTCGGTTTGATTGGCATTAAAATTATCAATAACAACATTGTTGGCTGAGGGGAAAAGACAAAAGAGAAAGGTGAGTGAGGCAAGAATTCAAACCTGAATTGTAGATAATTAGGTGAACTTAAGTATATGTCTAAACCAAGCGCTTAAATGAGTCTTTGTGAATCACTGATAGAATAAAAGTTTAAGTGATACAGAAAACAGTTACTATAGCTAAAAAACTCGTTAAAAACAAAGTAGCTAAATACACCGAAAACATCAGTTCTTTAACAAAATATTAGTTTTAAAGTTGCAATCATCACATCAGGTATTATATTGTATGATTTCTTTTTGAGCATGAATAGCAACGGAATAAAAAAAGCTGTGCGATGGGAAAAATTATTTAAAGTTTTTACCACCTTAATATGCTAGAAACAATTGCCTTTATTTCACTGCTTCTAAAAAATATTCAATAGAAATTTTCTACTATTGCGGTTTGCACATCAGCAGTAAAATAATAACAGACCTTATAATTTTCTTTGATTGAAAGTTGTTAAACCTGAATGAAGATACCAGAAGTCTGGTAAAAAACCTTACTATGGTGAAGCCCTACGGTTAATCTGTCACTGCTAAAAAGCCTTACTAATAATTGTAAGAAGATGCATTGGACAAAAATTGTAAGATTTTAGTTTTTTAAAAATAGGAATAACAGATGCCGTTTTTTTAATGTCATTTCAATATTGTATCTTCAACAATCAAGTAAACTCTATTTTTATTCTATTTTGTGATAACCATTTTGATAATATTTAGCGCATTAAAAATGTTGCCAAGTAGTTTCAGGATATTTTTTGTGTGATTTATGTAATGCATAATGTTTAACTTTAAATTTAGAATTAGGGGAAAGCGGGCTAACATGGCGAATGGGGCAAGATGGGTTTTCATATAACAACTCAACATTTTAACTCAACAGGTTTTTTTTAATAATATTAACGCAATTTCATACGTTTAAGCTTACTTTTTGCGCTTAAAATAAAATTCCTCAGTTTCGGGTTCTCATAATGGATGGTGTCCTTCAAGTTTAACTTCTTTAGAAGTAGTTTTTTGCAACTTGTGTTTATTTTTTGTTACTTTAGTTAGAGCTATTGTTAGTTTTTAAAATTTTATAAAATTGGAGGCACAAATTGCATAATAAGTCATCTTGCCCCGGTCACGTGACTAGATGACAAATTTATCAACTTTTTATTTCAATATTTATTTCAAATTATTATAATTACAAACTAAAAATTTATGCAGGCAACGAATTATTTAAATAACATAAACATACAGAGAAAGTATTATTGCTTCACGACTGATAGTTTTGCAATAATTCAAGGCTTTCAAAACGTTCGCCATGTTGACCCACTTTCCCCTACTAGTTTTACTTAAATTTTAGAAAAATTTCTTAAGTTTGGTTTTTTAAGAGTTTTAGAAAAAAACATAAAAAGTTTTTTTTTATTTTTATTTCTTTTTTTGTGGTGTATGAGTGTATGGTCGTGTAGTTTGTATGGATATGTTCTTTTTTTTGAAAATGTCTGAACATGTTTAAATGATAAAATGCCTTCATTTTTTATAATTTTTAAAACTTTACAACTAACGAACAACTGCTTCTTTTAAACTGTCTTGTTTTGCCCCACCCACTTACAAAATGTAAAATTTTTGTCTAGAGTTTTTTTACATTGATTGTCGCAGCTTATTTTTAGAATTTTTTTTTGTTTTTTTTTTGTTGTTGTTGTTTTAATGTTCTTATATTAATGAATTTTAGGAAGTTTATAAAAAACAGTGTTAACTACATGATTACTTTATGATTAGTTTATCCACAACTAGTATTTGTTTCTTAAGTGTCCCCAAATGCCTCGCTTTACCATACAATCAAAAAGTGTTATTTATTATGCTAGAAGCTAATTGTCTTTTAACTTGCGGATTTCGCTAGTTAAGGGCTGCAGAACTAAAATTCACCCGTTTGAAATATGTCAAATACCCGACCAGCCAACTATGTTCCTCAAAAAACATATTACTGTAAAATCAGTTTTTTTTTCCGTAGGGAAGGGGGTTTGAACCAACCCACACACCCCCGTAGAATCTATTCTGGCTGCAGTATTTATAACTTTAACTTAAAAGCATTAAATCCATCATTTTGTAAATGAAAATTTTAAGCTTTATAAAACAGGAGAAACAATAATACAAAACATATATTTAAAATAATTCTTTGTTTCATTTTGATTCTAAACAATTTTTTTTAATTAAGCCATATTTATGTTTATCAGTTAAGATTGAGTGGCTAATAAAAATTGCACAGATAATACGAAAAGGGTTGGCTATTTCTTTATAAATAGGCAAAACCAGCAACAAAATAAAATTAAAAAATATATATTTTACAACTTATGAAATAAATTTTTCAATTCACAGACTCCGCAAAACACTTTCTAGAGGTGTCTGTAATAACTAACTCAAAGAGTTTTTTACAACTCCAGTTATCATATTTATACCATTTGAGTATATAAAAATTCTATAAAAACAATGCATTATAAATACACAAACTATTTTGAATGTTACATTTTGAATATTACGTCAAAATAAATATTATGTTTCTTTAGATAAACTTTACAAAATCACATCGGTTTCTCATGTTTCAATGTTTTTTGTTCTTAACAGTAAAATAAGTTTCTGCAGACAATCTGTAGAAAGTCTGACACTGTTTTATGAAAGTATTGCCAGCTGAAGAAAGTCTTGTGAAACTAAAGAAACAAGCTTGTAGCTCTAACAGCATATTGAAAAGCTTTAAATATGTTGTACCATATATTTTTGTACAATGAGTTTAAAAATCTCAAACGGAAAAAAAAGTATTATTTTGGTGACTTACAGCAACAACAAAAACAACAAAATGAAGGTAACACGTTATGTATTGGTGTACGTATGTTTGTGTATGAGACACCTGTCTTCTAAAACTATTATTTACATGTAATCAGTTCTCCTTGCCGTTTTACATTTTCAAAATTTGGCAAAAAACTGTCAACCAATAATTGTCGTTTTAGTTCACTTGTATTTTGCCTGATTGAAGTTTTATGATATCTATGTTTGAATGGTATTTTTTTTCCTTTAGTGTACAAAACTTATATTATCAATTGTTTTTTTCAATCGCCTTTTTGTTGCATGGTTATTTGAACTCAACGAAAGTAGCAAGAATAAGTATCAGTTCACACATATTATCTCAATGTCACACAATGATCTTACTGCTAATAAAACAGACCTACAAAATTTGTATGATAAAGTTGAAGGACTTTTAACGAATATGATAAACATAAAACAGGAAACAAGCAACGAGAAACGAAATAAAAGATCATCTCAACCTAATCAAGACATTTCAAAGCAAATGTGTGTTAATACGAAAAACATCATAACAAATGAAGTCGGTACTTACGAGGTTGTAATGAAGTTGAATTCAAACAAGGTTGACTATTTTAAATCCGCAGAGTCTGTTATGTCAATAAATTGCAAATCAAATAGTGCAGTAACATGTGAAACAACATATGAAACAAGAAAATACGCAAAGTTGAATATAACCGGAGAAATAATCAACCTTATAGGAAACGTTAAACAACTCAAAGTTGGGGTTTGCTGTAAATGCCTAAAGTGATTTAAACATATTTATTGCATCAATTTTAATTTTTAATAAATATTTATGAAACGCTATATATGCTTTGTACATTTTTATATATTTTTAAACAATACTTTTAGATTGTTATAACAAAGCTATATTATTTGAACTGAATTTAATTTTAATTGTAATTTAAATATAAAGAGACATAGATGCAGGGCCGTACCGAGGGGGGGAGAGAGGCGTAGAGGGTGTATAAAGATATATAGATGTATACAATATAATCATAGATTTGATGATAAGCAGAGAGTATATTCACTAATTCGTTTTTAATGAAGCAAAAAATGCATTAAAATAAAACAAAATAATATTTTTAATAATGTAAAATCATATTAAATTAAATTTATTAAGTGAGAACATAACTTGATTGCATAAAGCCTATAAAGTTTTTAAAATTTTCTCTGTGTTTCAAGGTGGTTTGCACAAGGCGATTCTGCGATATGTTCAAAGATGATTTGTACAAGGTTTCACACAATATGCTTTAATGTGATTTAAACAAAGTGATTCCACGATATGTTTTTAGGTGGTTTTAATAAATTGAATCTATGATTTGTTCCTAAGTGATTTAAACAAAGTCATTGTACAATATGTTTCAAGGTGATTTAAACTAGATAAATCCATGATGTGTTCCAAGGTGATTTTAAAAAGGTGATTTCACAATATGTTCCACCAAACTCCCTTAACGGGGCTAGTTAAAAAACATAGTGGAGTTAAATGAATAAGGAGTTGATTATTTGAGGGTTCTAGATAAAATAGTTTACACAAGTAAATATTAAATAAATAATATTATAATTAAAAAAACACACACACAAAATAAAAATTTTATACTCATTTGCGCTTAATTCGTTTTAGAATTTAGTTTATTTCTAAAACAGAGCTATTAATAAATAGAAATTAATAAGCACATTTAAAATATGTTTTCTAAAACAGTGCTACTTTTTTATTTTTAATAATGATTTTGTTTTTATTATAGGTTATTAAGGTGCTCCAAGAAAAAATATTATTGCAGAGCGTAGGAACATTTAACCAGAAAGTTCACGCCTTCTTCCTTACCAATTTTGCTTATTAGGCCAGAGCCGGCGTCGAATCACGAACCTTTAGGTTCTGAGCCAGAATCACTGCACTACGGCTGTTTGACATTCAAAAAAAGTATTCTAAAACAGAGTTATTTTTTATTTATGAAAATTAACTTGGTACATCAAAAAAAATGTTTGAAGTTGCCAAACTAGTTAGTTAGTCAGAAAACTGTTGAAATAAAAATTTCTTTCAGCTTCTAACAAAATTATTAATCCAGGTTTTGCAAAAATTTTTAGTCATAAATATTATGAGAGTATAAACCCACCCGGCACAAACACGTCTTTAAGACGGGTTTTTTTCTAAAATGTTAACACTTTTAGATATCTAAATCCAGATAAATATAAGGTATCTATTAGTAGTCATCTTTTACACGACTTGAGATAGCTATTTTTCGTCGTCTCAAAGATAAATACAATTAGATGTCTTATAGTTATCTGAATTTAGACGTCGAAAGATGTTAATATTTTAGATTCTAAAAACACGTGCTTGTGCTGGTTGGGTTTATGATCTCATAATACTTATGACTAAAAATTTTTGCAAAACCTGGATTAACAATTTTGTTAAATTTTATAAACCTATTACAAAACTTTTTTTAAATCTTTTTACTGCAGTATTTATTGCAGTCAAAGTTTCAAAAATCAAAAAAAAAAAATTAAAATTGTCTTTTACACGCTATATTATTGAATTAATAATTTCGTTAAACATATTTTATCATATTTTAAAATGCTTGATTAATCATTTTTACATCCTATTTAACAAGATTAAGAATATTTAATCAACTTTATCAAAATTTAGTTGTATTTTTTTCTCACTGGAGTTTTGTTAATTATAGTTTAAGTAACTTTTTATTACTTTTAGTTATGGTCATTAAAATAGAATCACTGCAAGAAAAACTGAGAAACTTTACACTTCGTCTTAAATGTTAACATTTTATTTTATTAAGTGCTGTATAAAAAAAAGTTATAAGAGAAAAAAAAAAACCTTAAGTAGCGTTACAACTTACTTATGGTATTTAAGTCCTATGATATACCTTCTAATTAGTGCACTTCGTTTAATAAGTTAGACATGTTGTATGTCTAACTTATGTACAGATTGGCCAGGCAAATTTTATATTTTAGCATTAGTCATTTTAAAAGAATCCATTGAAATTAAATGAAAAATATAGGCGTACCAAAAGTGTACTCAAAACTAGGTCAAGGCCGCAGAAGCTGTTCAAGCCTTTAATTCATCATTCTAATACCGACGCTCAGATAAATAAAAAACTGTCTGGCAGCGGTTCTATTACTTAATTATCGAATTCAATAAAGAAGTTCATGAACTTCTTTATGATGTAGACTAACTGGCTTAAACAGTTGCATTAATCACGTAATTCAAGAAATTTTAGATAAACCTCTATGAAATCATGGATCCATCTCTGATGCAAACATGTCATGATAAGTTATCTTTTGTTCGCTAAATTTTTAGAAAAAAATATCTAAAAATCTAGCGAACAAAATAGAAAGTTTGTGGAGAAAAGCATCTCTTCCTTCTGTGTTTCATAAACGCATTGTTAAGATGTTTCTTGATTACAAGAAATATTATGAAATAACATAAAAACTTAAACATAAAAAAACATAAAAACAAATCGAATTAACAATAAAATTTAAAAAACATGCAAAAAATACTTTATTTGATGTTGAAGCATGCAAGTGCAGTAAATTTTCTAAATGCGGTTTTTAAAAAAGTAAAAAAGGAACGAGAGAACACAATTCTCTCAACGATCAGAGATTTTTGTGGAATATGTATAAGGGTGGCCTTCGTTATAATGGGTAATCTCGATATTGTGGTCTCCATATAAAAACTTCTTTAAAGAGGTGCAAAGGAGCAAAAAAAAACAGTAAAAAGCGCCTTACTGAATAACCCATCGACACGGTACGTACTATTACAGACATTGAAGCTCAAATAATAGCTTTTAGAATTCAAGTTTTTATTTTCCCTCTCCACATTCTGACTCTAATGACTTTTATTTGGAATACTGGCTTAGACTCAGACTTACACTTAGACTTAGGCCAAGACTCAGACTTAGGCTCAGGCTTAGATACTGATTATTTAGACACACCTGAAGACCGCAAACGAAACAGAAAAGATAAATCTGAACTAATAAGATCACTATTAATATCTTTATTATAAGTCTGCCCCATAGTAGGTTTTTTAAACAGAGGTGCGACATCTATAACATGTGCAGCGCTTGAAAATAGGTACATATTTTCAAAAGGAGACCAAGTAATTGATAAAACTATACGAAAAACTACCAAAGAAGAACATGTTCAAAAGAAATACTTTGTGATACCTTGCCAATAGTTAGTTATGTTCCTGTCAGTGTCACATTGCACAAAATAGACAAAAAAAAATTTTAGATTTAACCAAAAATATTTACTTGATATATGCACGGCATATATCGAGTAAATATGTATCTACAGTTAGTTATCCATTGTGTTTGGCAAACCAAAATCCTGGAAAACTTAACCATGCCAGGTAGATGACCACTGCGAATTTTTTGGTATGATGTTGGATTTAGCGAATAATCCCGCAAGCTTAAAGAAGTTGTTGATTTCATTATTAATGTTACAGCAAAATGTGGTTTAATATAAGATGTAATCCATTATTTATCAGCCAAATTTTTGGAAAACCATTAGCTTATCCAGGTATGCCGGCAGTGACATAAAAACATAATCATCGTTGATCAAGTGATACAAAGGAATGCTTATTTGTGCTCTTTCGGAAAACAGGCTTCCTGCTATAATATAGGATACTCACATAAGAAAAATTAGCATACAACAAATAATAAAAATGAGGTCTAAAAAAACAAATAAAGTTCGAAAGTTCTCTTAACAAAAATCAATTTTGAAGAAAAATATTACATAGACTCAACTGGAAATGTGAACTCAATGGACCTTCTTTTACCGTTCACACTTTAGATAAACGTACAACATTTTCCGTGCCATTCCATACTCAAGGAGTAGAGATATTCATTAAACTTATAATCAAGGCTTCAGATTAAGTTTAGGGTTCGGTTAGTAGAGACGGCTTCATAGTACAGCAATTTTGATTTTTATATGGGTTGTTGGGTTAAACACCTCACAAGTATTTTGGGTGCGCGTTAAAAAAATGTCTATTATATCTTATTTAAGATTGTTCCAGTCAATTATTACTCGATTGGTGAAAAAAATATGTCGCTTTATATTTCTTGTATATTGCCTTCTAAGTTTATTATTGTGACCTCTAGTTTTATATACGTTATCTAGCATTTCGGGTTTTGTGTAAAAATTTATGATATCGTACTCTTACAAATATTTGAACAATCAACTCTTCTTCTTCTGTTCTTCAACAATAATAAATCCAATTTTTTTAATCTCTCTTCATAACTGTACCCTTTCAAACTTTTAATTCTAGAAGCTCTTTGTTGGACACACTCTAGCTTATCTTTATCATACTGCCAATTAGAATTCCAGATTGGAGCTGCGTATTTCAAATGTGGACGTCATAAGGCTATAAACAAGAGTTTCATCATTTTTTTATCTAAATATTTAAAAGTGTGTTCGATCTGACCTAGTAATTGATTTGCTTTATTCACTCTTTTATTTACGTGGTGTTTCCATTCCAAATCATCTGAAATGTACACTACCTACTCCGTTTCAATGCTTGTTCATCAACCACTCATTCGACCATTCCATTAATAAGTCTATATCTTGTTGAAGTTCAATAATATCATTATCGTTTTTTATTGCTTTTCCATGACTTTACAAACTACATTTTAAAAATACTATAGTTTGCATTTTTGTATATAAAATATGAAATTCTTTATGTTATAAGGAATTAAATGGAAGCGACTCAAAGAAGATAAAGTTGACAATACGTCATCGTAATCATTTAATAAAGTCCCATTTTAAGTTTTAATGAAATATATATATATATTTTATTGAAACTTATAATGGGACTATAGTTTAACATATGAATATAATTTAATATATGAGTATAAATTAATATATGAATATAATTTAATAAATGGCTATAGTCATATATTAAAAACGTTAATAAGCATTAAAAATCTTCTGTCAATAGAAAATCAAATTGTCAAAAAAAAAAAAAAAAAAAAAAACCAGACGAAGAAAAAATTTTTTAAAAAGCCTATACTTCTAAAATAACAAAACACTCGGAGAAATTAGATTCACATGTCATGATAGAGATACCAGTGTTATTAATGTGTTCAGGTAATTAGCCAAAATAAGCTGCGGATGGTCCAAAAAAAAAATTATGTTGCTAAACTTTATAAAAAAAAGATTTATAAGACCATCCAGCTGCTCCAAAAAGTGCTGCTGCGAAGACAAAAAAAAATTGCAAGATCAAGATAACATATACGATACAATTCCTGGTGTTTTTAAAGCAAAGTTTCCACGTTTAACTATCTATAATTGATTGTTTTGAGACATTTGTTGAACCACCATCTTCTCTTTTAGCAAGGGCTCAGTTTTACAGTCAATACAAAAAATATTGCAGAATCAAAGTATTTCCTGTACTCCTACAGGTGCTATCAATTTTTTGTCAAAGTGTTATGGAGGTAGAGCTTCTGACTTACAAATTGCACGTGAATCTGAATTTGTATGTAAATACATACCAGGAGACCAAATTTTAGCAGATCGTGGATTCACTCTTCAAGATGACTTTGCTGTTGGGAGTTCTGCTGAGTTGTTAATTCCAGCATTTACCAGGGATAAAAATCAGCTGTCCGCCAAAGAAGTAGAAACATCAAGAAAAATTGCCTCTGTTAGAATCCATATTGAACGCTTAATAGGATTGATGAAAAGCAGGCACACTATATTGAAAGGTGTCATACCATTGAAAATTATAAAAAATATTAAAAATGAGACAGCAAACTGTATTTTGGCAAACTGTGATAAAATAGTTTCTTTGAGTGCATATTTTTGTTTCCTAATATTTGGTTGTTTATAAATTATAACTATAATACTAACAATAAAAATGTAGTGACTGATCATTGGGGCAGCTCTGATGCTGGAGCTACCTGGAGTTGGTGTTTTTACATGGAGACGAGCCGTAGATAGCTAAAATATTTATTAAAGGAGCCAACTCTGGAGCGGGTCTTTCATTAATCATTTTTGGCTTCGACACCCTTTACAATAAACATAAGCGTTTTTCTTGAAAGGGATATCTAAGTACAGTAAACATTATTTTGTGAAAAAATTTATAAAAAAATATGGTCGCTTAAGTCACTAAAAATTTTAATGATATTCTATAACATTTCTTCGTGCACTTTATTAAAAATAAATGACAAGTAAATTTTATATTATTATAATTTGAATATTTTGTTTTACAAAGTTTGATATTATATATAGCAACTCTTACAAGTTAGTGTAGAGGGGCTATTTTCTGTACTAAAGTTATATTGAGCGATCTGTGTTCCTCACTCAAACCTGATATTTTTCATAACTTATTTTTACGGATGAGTCCATTTGAGAAACCGTTTCTTAAATGTTTTATTATACCAAGGACGTAATATAAGATAATAATAATTTGTGTTCCCCTTTTTCATAATGGCAATAAATGAACACTTGACTTTCCGATTTGGTCCATAAAGCAAAATTTTATACCAGAACTCGAATAATTTAAAAAAATTTTAACGTTATTTAATTTTTGACATACAGGGGACTAAAATTTAAAAAAATTTGTTTTTTTTGTTTTTTTGTTGTGCTAAAAAAATTAAGTTAAACGTAGCTACTACTTTTTACTAAAACGCTAAATTCGTTTATTTTCCAGAACTTGCATTAACTGCGTTGAATTGTATGATTTATTTGAATAAAAAGCCGTACGTAACAGAAAAAAAACAAACACAGATATGTTAATCCATCGATCTAGTTTTTAGAAAGATTTATATTATTACCTATATTTTTAAAACCATTTCCATTCTGACAATTTTTGTGTCGTTTTATTAATTTTGAAATTAACTGTAATCAAATAAATATGTCACTTGTTGCTGCATATAGTGAAAGTAGTGAAGACGAAAAAGAAGAAGAAGAAAATCATTCCGATAAAAAGACCAATGAGTTATCAGTTGAAGATTTAAAAGCAAAACAATTTCGAACTCAAGATTCTTTTCAAATTGAAATTTTAGATGACGAAGATTGGTCATATACTCCGCAAAACGATGCTGTTTCATCAAATTCAGTTTCAATTTTTTCTAGTTTACCATCTTCGAATAAAGAGAAAACGTTGTACGAAGAAGAAAAAGACGATGAGTTTTTAAAAATAAAAGCATTTTCCGACGAAATCAAACCTGGTCTTATTATAAATAATAAAGAAGAAGAAGCGAAAAAATTTATGAACTTACCTCAGCCAGTAAAAGGAGGAAAAAAAGGAAAAGTCAAAATTTCACTTCCTACTTATACTAGTGTATGTCACATTTGCTTGACATTTTTTAGTCAATAAAATGTTTTTTTTCTTTTTCCAAAAGTTATACACATAAAGATATTATTTATCAAAACTTACCTTGCAATTAACAGCTAAGTTTTTTCTTGTTTGTAAACTTCATACCTTATATTTTTTACATATTTTGTTTTATTTTTATTTTTAATTAAATGAAGTTATAACTTGTATCAGGGAAATGATTCAGAAGATGAAATAGGTAGTAATCAAATTTGTGGCGAAGAAAAAGGTATATTATCTAAGAATGTGAGTATTTAAATTTTTTTTTTTTTTGTTTTTTGCTTTTGCTTATCTTTCTTGCTCTTTGCTTAGAAAAATATTTATTTGTTAATAACTTTTAGGTTGATTTTTTTTCTGTTTGTTCCTATACCTAACTTTTAATTACAAAGAATAAATAACAGTTTCTTTATTATTTTTTCAATATAGAAAAGCTCTCTTGTAGCCATTCTTCCTAAGCCAAAGAACAGTGTTTGTGTTGGAGAAAACAAAAACAAAGTATTTCAAAAACAAGTTAATCGACAACTTGTTCCTCACACTCTGAAAAAAACACTAGTAAGTAATAAGGGTCAATTACAACAACTAAATAATGAAAAGATTAACAAAAGTCAAGATGAACTGAGCGAAGATGAAGACGTAATAAATGGTTGTAATTTTTTTAGCTTAGGTGACAATACTTCAAGTATTGAGGATAAAGATCAATCAAATTTAAATGATTTTAATGTATCAAGAGACAGTCTTCAACCTGCTTCAACAGTACAACAACTGTGTCACTCTCCAAGTTTAAAAGATAAGGAATCTTCTGCATTATTCTCTGAGCCAATTGACTCTCAAATACCAAAAAAAGAAAACTCTTATTTTTCAAATTTATTTTCAAAAAAGATAACTAATGACTCCACATTAACTGGTGTTAATGACTCCACAAATCTGATTAAATCAGGTAATTCCAATGTTTCTGAAAATTTAAACAAAATAAGTTCTAATGGATCTCCACATCTAAAACAAAGTTATAGTGATGTTACCGCTCCTTATGGTAGTGCAGAATTTAACAGTATAACCTCGAGTACTCTACAAAATTCAAACACAAAATATGTTGAAAATCAGCATTTTGAAAGTAAAACGGAACCGTTTTTTGCTTATGGCTATCAGAAAACTTACAATGAACCTGAAAGCATACTAGTAAGATTTTTAAGTATTAAATGTATAAATATTTTTAATCCCATTAATTAAATCCCATTAATTCTATTTGAAAACATCCAGTCTCAGATTTTGCTAATTTTTACACTTCTCATAGATTTACAATAAATTATGAATATTCCATAAATTTTATCATCTATTTCCAAATGGTTTTAATTATATGGCCATTCAAACTTATCCGTGAACCAACAAAAATCAGCTATTTTAAAAAGCTTTGACTATTTGATAACTTAATAAAATCGGATCCTTAATTTCGAAAATTTATTAAAATTTTTACTGGGGGTGAGTTTAATTATAAAAATGCAGATGTATAGGCTTTTTTTTTTTTAATGTTATCTTGAATAATTTAGTCAAAGTTTTCACAATGAATTGAATTGTGGTCTTTCCTAAAACAGAAATAAAAAATATTGTCAAATATCGTTAGTAGATAAATTTTTGTTTCCTAATAAAACCATATTTTGAACTATGAAGATTTTATTTCTTGTGATTATTTAAAAGAAACCTTTAAAAAGCATTCAAAATAGTATACACTTTGTTTAACAATGAGCACAATACAGTGCGTTATATAGTTTTACATAATTAAAGCATAAATAAATAATTTAACGCTATAAAAAGAAGCTGACACGTGATTTAGAATTTCAAATTGCAACTGTACTGTTTTTTTAAATGTTGTTACATTTTGAGGCACATTTTTTCTCAATTTAAAATGATTTTTGAAATTTTTTTTCAATTCAAAAATCACATGAATGGCAGTTGAATCATTAATAACACTTTATATCTTTTTGTTTTTCATGAGTAAAATAAATATTTATTTTAACTTTGTCCAACAAAATCAGTAATAAAATGTAATAAAAAACATTAGGGGCCATCCATAAAGGACATCAGGAAGAGGGGTTCAAGATAAAAAGGACAAAAAAGGGAAAAAGGACAACCAGTGACAATGGGGGGGAGGGGTCAAATATTGGCTGAAAATGGCCTCTTATTAGGATGCACGTAAGAAAACATTAGAATGCACCTAATGAAGCATGTGGAAATTTTTTTTTTTTTCTAAAAAAAAGAAGTTTCAGCAAAATGAATTACAATAAAAACATGTTTTAAACATTTAACTAAATTAAATTTGATTGAAGATTGAGAGAGACTAAAAGAATATTTTTCTTATAAAATATTTATTTGCAGTTATGGCTTTTAACTTTTTGGCTCTGCATAATAAAACCTTTGTTAAGATTGACAAAAAGAAATGATATGAAACATATATTGACTATGACAAAAATAACGGTCTTTAAATGTTGTATTTAAAATTCTCTTTACCAATATCTTTTTGTAACCTAACTATTTTTTAACAGCTTTTGACATTTTATTATTTAATTTACTTTTAATTAAGCCATTTCTTATTAGTCATATTTTAGTAGTTATACATAAAAAAAAAAATTTTTCAGCATTATCACCTTAGAAAAAATACCCCAAAAAAATTATTATACTAGACTACTGATTATCATAGCGGGCACCTCATCTAAGAAATTTAAAAAAAAAAAAACTATTTTAGTCGCCTGCAGGGCGACCTGGAAAAACTGGAAAAAAAAAAGAGTACTTTGATGATGTGCCACAGCATATTTTATATAATGGAGCATTTTATATAATTATTTAATTTAATTTGGCATTTAATAGTTTATAAAATTGAGCCTAAAATGTAACTCATAGTCAGAATATAATAATCATTAGAATATCGTAACAAATATAAACAATCTACCTTTGTTTTTTTACCTAAAAATATTTTAAAGAAAATAGTTCTCACAGCAGGGACTTCCAGTCAAGCAACATAAATTAAATTTTTTAATTTTTTTACAATTTTGAGATACAGCTTCTTTGTTCATAACGTAAAATCAGGGGTGAGGAGATCCAAAAGTACTCCAGCTTTATAACTCTATTTTTTCCTGGTCTATGGTGTCTAGAAGCTCTAAACTTATTAGTTGACTTATGATCTTCAAAAAAATAAAAAATGTTATGAGATTTAGTGACTTATTGTTTTAAATAATATAATTATTGTTTTTAATAAAATAAGTTAACTTATTTTTTTTTTACTTGAGTTTTTAGTTAATTTTTTTTTTTTTTTTTTTTTTTTTTTTTTACATAAGTTTTTTAAATAAAAAAACTCAAGTAAAAAAAAAGCAATACTCAGAGTAAAACATAAGCTTTTTTAGATTTTTAAAGCTCTTGGATACAAAAACCTCAGAAGAAGTAATCTTTTTGTGACGTTCAAAATGGATTCTTTTTTGGGACTCCTCATCCTTTAGTAAAATTTAATAACCAGGGGAAGAGGTCTTAATAAGCTCAAGGAATTAGATAATAAAGTTTTGTGAATGTTTTTACTTAAAATCTTTGAGTGGTGTAAAAATCAGCAAAATCTGAGACTATAGTATATTTACTATAGTATAGTATAGACTATAGTATATTTACTTGCATTATGCTTTTCCATACCGCAACAAAATCTTATGAAAAGACCTATAAATATATATATATATATATATATATATATATATATATATATATATATATATATATATATAATTTTTCTCTCTGGCCAGATGGTCATTTTTAGGTTGGTGTGCACAATTTAAATAAGTTTTTTAAAATAAAAACAGCGAAAATATGGTTGTGAATAAATACTAGATGAAATAATTAAAAAAAGCAACTTGTAAAATGAACATTTTATTTAAATTTTAGATAAAACAAAATAAAAGTGGAAAGAAAATAAAGAATAAAAAACCGATTGAATAAATAATAGTCAATATATTAAAAACAGAAAGATATATATTTTTTTAAATTCTAAATGAAATATTAAAAAAAAAAAAGGAACAAACATTATATTTAAATTCGTAATAAAATAATTCAAACTCTAAATAAAATAATTACAATTAGAACAGCAAATCAAATATTTTTATTTAACTCCCTAAAAAATAATTCATACATTGAAGTCACAATTTTTCATAAAAATTTGATGACAAAAAAAAAGTTGCAATTTAAAAGTAACTCTTATTTTTGTTTTTTTGTGTGTGTGGTTTTTTTATGCGCTCCCAAAAGTTATTGTAGGGGTAAGTGCGAGTGCAAAGCGTTATAATAGAGGGTATGGGGTGACAGAAGGAGCAATTTGCCAACAGTCTCATCTAGTTACTGGCCTCAATGTTTGAAATTAATATTATTACAATATTCTGCAGTTTTAAAATAACATGTTTTTATCATTATTATTTGAAAGAGAACAATGTTGGTATGTGTTACATGTAATGTGCATAACTTTTTATTAAATAGATGATAAACTAACAAATACAAATAATTTCTGTACAATGTATTTGTTGTTTTTCTTCTATCTTCTTAGAACTTTACTTAGGTTTAGCATTATAGCTGTTAAAAGCATTCTTGCAGATTTAATGTCTACTGGAATTATAATTATAATTAAAAGGTTTGTTGTATCATGCTTAAGTGCTCATACTACAAAGTAGTGGGCCAGCTTTGCGCAAACAGCAATGACACATCTCAGTATCCAACGTTAAGCGATATTGTTTTCTCCTTTATGATTTCTGATGTCATTTTTGAATATAAATTTCTGATGCCAAAGTAGAAGATGTCACAAAAGCCCTTTTTTCCACATCTACAAAATTCCATAGGAGCATTTTTTTTTTTTTTTTGCTATATTTGTCTGCAAGTTTGTATTTATACTTGTTGCTTACACCACAAGGAAAAATTGAAGAATAATATTTGTCACCAGAAAGTTAACTAAAGTAACATTTTATGTGACTTTAAGTCCCTTCATCCATCAATCATTTATATATATATATATATATATATATATATATATATATATATATATATATATATATATATATATATATATATATATATATATGTATGTATATATATATATATATATATATATATATATATATATATATATATATATATATATATATATATATATGTATATATATGTATATATATATATATATATATATATATATATATATATATATATATGCAGTGCTCGAAGTGAGGCGGGATGCCAACCAGTCACCTTTTTATAAAGTATAAACCATCCCTCCAACTTTTTTTTATAAATCTCTATATACAACAATGATTAGGCGGGATGGTATTTTTAATTTACCGAATACCATGCCATTACTTTTTTTTCTCCACTTCGAGCACTATATATATATATATATATATATATATATATATATATATATATATATATATATATATATATATATATATATATATAATACAATGACCTAAAATGTGACTTATTAGCAAAAAAAAAGTGATTTTACCAATGTCATCTTTTTTTCCTATCATGTTTCATCTTAGTTTTGCTAAAGTGGTAGTAAAAGTTTTTTCTTTTGTAAGGATAACATTCTTTTGTAAGGTTAACATCACAAAATGTTTTTTAGACATTTAAAATGGATTACAATTTTGCCATAGCAACATCATTGGAACCATTTAATTAAACTTTATCGCAAGATTTAAAACATTTTTCAATAACTTTTTTGTAATTGTTTTCAACACTACTTGTTTTATATTTTTTTAAAAGATTAAAGTAGGAAACAGAAAAGGCTAAAAAAAGATGTCAAAAAATTTTATTGAGAAACTTTAAAAAATCAAAAGTCTTTGTAGAAGATAAATAATCATATTCATTTTATAAATCCTGTGCATACTTATGTTACAGGGAAGAAAAATTGTTGCAAAATAAGCCTACTTTTGTTGAAAGAAAAAAAAGAATACATGTTTATAAAAAACTAAGACAGTTTTACACATTAGGACAAGACTGGCAAGTAAAAGACATTAATTTTGCAAGCAGATTCAGAGATTTTAAGCTAAGAGTTTAACCTAAGAGTCTAATTAGTTCACATAGAATCCAACTCTATATTACTTAATTAAATTCAGAATTTTATCCCTTAGATTATGTTGCCATTATTATTTCAAAATATATAAATGAGTTTAAAATTTGCTTAGGTAGTTTTGTTATTCCCAAACTGGAATCTGCTAAAATTTATTAAACTGATTTTATAAAATTTTGGTCTCATTTTGTCTGCATGTTATCATATTAATTTGAGCTTTTGCATACAAGGGCTGCAGTGTAGAGAGAAAATCAGGAGAAATCAGTATTTTCATTCATTACTTTTTTTTTCTTATACAATAGTCAAAAAAAGTAGTGATATATGATTCATGATTAAAAAAAGTAGTGATATATGATTCATGATTATCCAAATAAAAAGGTGGGTTTTTTTAGTGAACAATGTTTTTTAAAATGCAAAAGATTTTTTTTAAAGTGCATTAGAAACTTTATAAACAAGTTTTTAATTGAATAATGGTTATGTGGAATCCTATGATGATTAACTGTGTGACAATCATGATTAACTGTGTGACAATCATGTTTCAGATGCAGAATCATTATAGAATTCAGATGGTATATTGAAATTATATTTTTGAGCATCATGACTATGTCTATTTTTATATAAGGTACAATATAAAAATATATGTCAGTACAATCAAGAAAAAACACTACACACTGTACACTGCATAAAATGCCTATCAAATAATATATAATACTATCATGAATCAGATGTCACTTCTTTATGTACAGTAGTTTTATGCATATATGGAAATTTGAGGTGATGGCTTTTTACCATTTGCAGCAGGTACCCCAACTGGTATTTAAAGAAACTACTGCAAACTTTTATTCCGTAAAGAACTCTGTATAGTCTGAAACTAATTTTGTACCTCTCTCTGCTCCACTTGATAACTTTCTGTGTAGCAACTGTTGCACCAGCTGTAATATTTTCTGGAAGGTCATCCATATCTAGCAGAACATTTTAGAAGCCTGAGTTACAACATAAATAAGGCTACCACAAATGCTTTTGCCATCTAGTCTAAAAGAGCTAATCTGTGAAGGTGTTTACTTAGATTCCATAGATGTCATGCTGTTGCCTTCTCAGCACTCTTCGCTACCTCGTTATCTGATTCTCAATATTTAATAATCAAAGTTTTTTTATAAGGATTAAGTCATTATGAGGAGCTGATGTTAAATTTAGTGAACAAAAGTTGTAAAACAACCAATGTTTCTCAGTTCACATTAAGTAATATGGAACTTAACAATAAGTAATATGGATGAAATATAATTTCAAATTCAGTATACATGACGGAGTATACCAGATGCACAATAAGCAGTCTCTTTCTCTGGCATATTGTCAAAAAAGCTCAATCTGTTGTTCAAGTAGGGTGCAAGCCCTTTTTATGGATTCCTGGATGTTGTATCTAAACAAATAACAACCCAATTTTAATATTGACAAATAGCAACCCTCCCACTCTCAGACAAGGTCTGAGAGCGGGAGTATTGTTAGAACCTAACATCTGAGATAAAATACAAAATTTAGTATTTACCTTGCATTAGACAGCACCTTTTTACATTTATGTCTTGTAATAATAAAAATAACATTTGTTCTGAAGCTTACCTGTTTAAATCCAGGAGGTTAAATAAAAGGCACCTTTATGCATATATAATATGGATATATATGGATATTAACATAATTTTTACAATGAAATTTGTATTATTTGATCTCAGCAAAGTCAGTACAGTGTTCAGTTCACTGTTCAATGCTGTTATGTTATTTACAAGAAAATTGGTAGATTATGTTTTTGTCTTGAGCAATCTTTAAAATTGCTTTAATTTTTATAAAATTGCCTTCCTAACCAAATGGAGGGATAAGACCATCAAAACTTTTAACTTATATATATATATATATATATATATATATATATATATATATATATATATATATATATATATATATATATATATATATATATATATATATATATATATATATATATATATATATATATATATATATATATATATATATATATATATATATATGAATATATATATATATATATATATATATGAATATATATATATATATATATATACATATATATATATATATATATATATATATATATATATATATATATATATATATATATATATATATATATATATATATATTTGTCTAGTAAGCCTTCTTTGAGTAACTTTAGAATTAAAAATATATTTTTTTAAATATTCTTGTTGACCATGTATTTCAATCAATTGTGCACTCTTTTCCAAAATAAGCAATTGCTTCTTTAGTTTTTAAAGTAATGATCCTTATTTCTTTAAATTCTATATTTAAAAATAATCCCAAATCAAAAAAAGCATTAAAAGCAAGTAGCTTTTGTTTCTGTGTTCTAAATCTAAATAAAATATTTTTAAATTCAAAACATACTGTAAAGGAAAACTTTTTTTTTTTTAAATAAGATAGGAATTGATTAAATTAATTTTGTTTTGTACAATTGTTTCTTGTAGTACTTGATAATTTGTTTAATTTACAACAAAGTACTATTTTTTAATCTATTTATGTAATATTTCAATCATATTTCAGTTTGTTTTGTAAAATATATTTTTAGACTGTTGACCCTGTTGATGTCTACCACCAATCAAATGTTGACACACTATTAGATAATGATGCTGTATGTTTTTTTTTATTATGTGATTGATTTAATTAACCTTTTTTTAATTTATTTATTTTAGCTTACTTTTTTTTATTTTGTTTACAATTGTTATTTTTTTATTTATTTTTAAAGATAAAAGCACTTGTTGGAGGAAAAAGAAAATTTAGAAAAGAGGATATTAATATTATTGATGTGAAAGGAGAAGATTTACAGCTTTCAAAGGGAGAATACCTAAAGAATCTTACGCAAGATTCAGGCTATAGACCTAAAGTTGTAAGTTATACATCTTTTTTAGCATCAGAGATGTGTTTTTGAAAAATGTTCAAATAATTTACATTTTGCTTATAATTTTTTTATTATTATTCATTTTAGTCTAAAAAAGATGAACCTCGTAAATTAGAGAAAAGAAAACATCAAATTACATATCTGGCCTATCAGGTACATTGTAAAAATAAGTTAGAAATTATTTTTTTGAATACTCTTTTGTTTTGTTTGATTTTTTTTGTGTGTGTGTGTGTGTGTGTGTGTGTTGAATAATAGTAGGAGGAATATAATTGAGTTATAAGGAATATAAAATATTTTATTGAATGCTGATTTTACGAAATTATTAATTCATAGACTTTGTTTTTGATATGTCGTTCACTTTTTATTTCTAAAATGAACTTAAGAAATCATCATGATGCTAGTGATATTTACATCATAATTTGATACTTACGTCATAATTTAATACTTACATCATAATTTGATACTTACATCATAATTTGATTCTTACATCATAATTTGACACTTGCATCATTAATCATATCATGCTTAGTTACTAGTATTGCCGTGTTTTGGGAATGTTACTATAATGCCATTTTATTTTCAATCATGGCGTGTTTTGGGAATTTTGGGAGAAGGTATAGCAAGGTTTATCCTCGGATGTCCTTCTTGACATAAACCTATTTTGTAGATGAAGATGTATTTTGATGCTACCACTAGGAGGATTATCATCCGAAGTTTATAAGTTTTAGATTAAGCTTAAATTGTCATAACTTAAAAACCCTTGGTTTTGGAAAATTAAAATGAAAAGAAGGTTTTTTATTATTATTATTCAGTTATTTATGATAAATCCGTTTTGTTATGTGTTAAGGATTTAATATTAAATAATTTTGAATAATATATTTGTATTAGGCAAAAGAAAGGGAACACGAGCTTCGCCAAGCATGGTCAATCAGCAAAGCAACCCGGCGCGATACACAATCGAAGTATGGTTTTTAAATCAATCATTGTTCGTCCACGTGCTTTTTGAATCACAAATTTTAATTATGCGATTACAAAGTTTCTCAAATAGCTGCGATACAACACTATACTTTGCAATAAGTTGTTCAATGTTTGCAATGAGTGTTCCATGAATCTTACCACCAGAAGCATCTGGTGCTACTTTGATTTTTCCAACATATAAATTTGTAAATATTAAATTTTGATGAGGTTTACAATGGATGTGTTTTACAGTATGATGACGGATGGCCTGTATCCATATCTTTAATCAATGAAATTAAGTTTCTTATCGCTTCATGCGATGTCAACAATGCTGAATCTATTAAAAAACGCAACTACTTCACTATAATTGATTCTTTTGAACGTAGATGAGACTGATTGATTTTATTGGATGTGCTTGTAACAATTTATTGGGTATACATTAAATCTAAAAAGTATCGTGAAAGAAGTCACTTGAAAGCTGTAAATAATTTAAACGAAATAAAAAAAAAAATTATACATGGACTTTATCAATTCACTTTAGTAAATTCATATCCAGTAGGAACACGGCGTGTTTTAGACGTCTTTAAAACGTTTTAATGCGTTTTAATACTTCACAGTAAGAAATATAACGCTAACATAACGGTAAGTGAAAAATTTAGCGTAATGTTAGGAAAAAATATGTCTTGAGCGTTATGTTCCCCAAAATTATTTATATATTCATTTGTCTATAAAAGACGTTATGTTTTACCGTTATATTAATTGAATTACCCATTAATATGACAAGCGGGATTTTTTGCAAATTGTGTTATGTTTAAGATATTTTCTATAAGCAATTATAGAGCCAAAACAACTTTTATATTAACACTGTTTATTAGTAGTATATATTTATTATATATTTGTTTACTGAGGTTCATACCTTTAATATGGATTGGTTTCCATTTAATATTATTTTAAAATGTTCTCATATTATTCATCTCTATTTGTATTTTATACACTCATAAAATTAATAAAGGTGAATAATAATAATACAATTCTATATATATATATATATATATATATATATATATATATATATATATATATAATATATATATATATATATATATATATATATATTATCATGGATACAAATGTTTTGATTTGGTTTTGATTTTTGAATATATTTTGATTTATTTTACACCGTCAGGTTGCCATATGATTGATATTATCGGTAGCAAGTGCAATATTAATAACTTTGTTAAAGCTAAAATAAGTACGCTATTTTCAGAGGGTTATTCTCAAAGAAGTATATCGAAACGCCTAAAAATATTGAGATGTGTCGTACAAATTGCGTTACGTTTGCATGACTCAACAAATCGTAAAAATTGTGGTAGAACAGATTTTTAAAGAATATTGTTAATAGACAATCACAACATCTTCAAGATTATCACAAATTGCTATTAAAAGGTGCATTTCTATTTTTAGTTTATTAGTATTACTAGTTCAACAACATATAGGAGAAGGTTGTGTTATGACTTTGGTTTAGTTGCTAGAAGACCAGCTAAAAAACCTTTATTAACTACAACACAATTGCAAGCTAGAATTAAATTTTGTAAGAGTTTAAAAGACGAGACACTATAATGATGGCAAAAAAGTAATGTTTACAGACGAAAGTACGTTAAACAAGTTTGAATCACGGGCAATAACTATGTTAGAAGACCTGTTTGAAAACGCCTGAATCCAAAGTATACCATAAAAACAGTCAAACATCCTTCTTTAGGTATGGGTTCTATCACAGTACAAGGGCGATGCGGTATGCACATCTTTAAAAAAGCCACAAAAGTATCTACGCGTGTTGAAAGATAAAGTGAAATTGCATATACCAAAACCAGAATATTTCAGAACCATGTCACACAGCTAAAATAGTTATGACGTGGTTTACTGATAAAAATATTGAATTAATATCCGATTGGCCCTCAAGTTCACCCGATCTTAATGTTTTCAAGAACTGCTGTAATGTTATAAAGCAGAAAGTTGCAGTACATCAGCCAAAATCTGAAGAACATCTTCAAAAAGTTCTAAAAGAAGTTTGGACCAATGAATTACGCCAAAACTTTGTAAAACAATATATATATATATATATATATATATATATATATATATATATATATATATATATATATATATATATATATATATATATATATATATATATATATATATATATATATATATATATATATATATTAACATCTTTACTTCCAACAAGACTGCAAGCAAACGCTATTAGAATTCTAAATGACTAATGTTCGAGGAAAAAAACTAAACAATTAGGAGTTTTTGGGGCACTTAGGAACAGTCACAATAAAAGCATGAGACTTAATTGAATGACAAGTATTACGAGAATTAATTTTAGTAGATGGCACAAGAGACGCTAGCTCTTTAGAGCAGCGCCCATAATAGTATTTATAGAAAAGAGAAAGAAGCAATATTACGACGATATGATAATGGTTGAAGGTTGGCTGCAAGAGCAGGTTTAACTATGTTTACAATGCGTTTTTGTACCTTATCTAAAAGAGAAAGACCATTATTGGAAGATCTGTACCAGATATGGCAACATTATTCAAGTACAAATTTGAGATTAGTAGAGATAAAAAAATGAAATCCTGATTAAGAAAGTGGCGAGCATTATAAAGAGATGCAACCTTAGTAGGTGCTAATTTTACAATAGAGGTTTCTAAGAAAGATCGGATGTAAGAGTTAATTCTAGAAGATGAAGAGTAGATGATTCATCAAGCACATTACCGTTCATAAATATAGGAAGATCTAATTATTGCAAGTTAATCTGAGTTAAAGTTCACCAGCTACTGAGAGCCACCCGCTGTAGCAGAAAAGATCTTTTTTAAGCTCAAATGCCCCCTCCAAGTAATCATAGAGTGTTGGCTTCTTATCAAGACAAAAATGAATGATATTATCATCAGCGAAACTATCCTACCTTAAATGTAAGAATTTCTGGCGGGTCATTAATGTAAATTTAAAGAAGTATAGGTCCTAGGATAGAATCTTGAGGTACCTCTAAATAGTAAATGACCGGGGCTTGTATCTGACTGTGGCTATGGCCAGTTTTACGGACGGGACTGCATAAATATTGGTGCCTATTGATTTATTTTTATATATCATATTAACATGCACCAATAAGGAAGGAATTAATAATTATAAAAATGTTGCCTGATATACCGTAAGAAGAAAGCTTATGGAGAAGACCAGCATGCCAAACTTTATTAAAGGTTTTAAAAATGTCGACAGCAATAACCTTAACCTCTCCACATCTATTTAACTCACAAAAAAATCTATCAGTTATTACCATTAACAAATCAGCAACAGAGCAAGAAGATCAAAATCCATTTTGATGATCAAAAAGTAAGTAATTAGGTTCAATATGGGAGATTAAGCTTTTTTCAATTAAAGATTTAAAATCCTTGTTTATGATAGGAAGAAAACTGATGGTATGGTTGTTAGACAAATCAGATCCTTTTGAAATTTTGAAAATAGGGATAACAGATGCCGCGTTCTAAAATGCTGAAAATCATGTCTCCAATAAGCACTTGTTAAATAGTTTTAAAATTATAAACGACAACTCTGGAAAACATTTCTGCAAAACTATAACAGGTATGTTGTCTGGACCAAAAGCTGAGAAGAGTCTAAGCAGGAAAATTATTCAACGCAAACAGAGTAAAAATTTTGAAATCTGCTAGAATGCTAAAGACATTGAATATATTTTAAAAAGTATACATTAATTTGTATCAATTCAAGTTGGGAAGAAAGCAAAATAAAGATATTTTAATATTAATAGTTATTGACAAAAAAAACAAACAAATGCAACAAAATAAAAGAGACTATCAACCTTTTGATAATCGAGAAATTTGCAAAATCTGCATCAAGTAAATTGACAAGAAAACAATGTTTTGTTAGTATACTAAAGGCGAGTTTCCACTCATCCGTTTTTTCACGGGAACGGGAAAGGGACGGGAAAAATAATCACGTGGGCATACGTAGTATAAGTTTTAATATGTCCGAAGGAAAACTACGCATGCTCACGTGATTATTTTTCCCATTCCTTTCCCGTTCCCGTGGAAAAATGGATGAGTGGAGACTCACCTTAATGCAACATTGTTAAAAAATAAGTTTGATGAATTATTAATTGATATTGAAGTTAAGCAACTATATATTAAAGGTTCTAGTGAGGAAAATAACAAGCAAGTTCTAGATTCAATCAATTACACCTATTAGTTGTTAAATAAAATCAATATTCAGGTTTACATATATGTGGTGACTTTAATTACTCAAAATATAAATCAACTAATATTTTAAATAAATAACAAGGAATCAACAAACCTATTAGACTTAGTGATATCAGAATCTAATTTTTGCATAGTTTCTGAATATTTTAATATTCCTTGTTAGTTTTTCCTTTCACAGGAGCGGGTTTTATCACTCACCAAAGCAGGGGGGAAGGTCTAATTAAAGTTCAAAAACTGAACTACTCAGTGTAGTTAAGGTGATTTACAAATTATTCAAATTCTTTTATTTGAAATAAGCATGATTTTATCAGCGTATTACGCCCAAACAAGAGTTTTTAATGTTACAATTTTTTTTTTGCTTCAGGTTTTTTTAATATTTAAAGAAACTTTTTTTATATAATTTTCAAAACCTTTTTACTACCCCTAATAGATAATCCCTAATAATAATACCTCTAATAATTTTATTTAGATCCATTTCATCCATTTTATGATACCGCAAAATTTATCATTTTGATTTTTTTTTATCTTTTCATTATACACAGACCTGACCATTTAATGAAAATATGTCGTAGCCAACAAAATATCATACAAATGCTATAATATTTTAAAATTCCCTTAACTAAACCGAGTAGCCGTATTTTATCTATATCATTTTAATTCGCATTAAAATGATATAGATAAAATAAAAGGTCGTCTTTAAATTACGTCACACTCTAGGGGGAATGGGTTAGTGGTTTTGTGAAGATTTGTACAAAACTTGTTATAAAAACGTTACAATTGAGGTAAAAAATGGTCATAGTTGCTTGAAGTAATTTATGGACATCCCTAAATATGGTTTTACGTATTCTTTTGCGTACTTGTACACGTTAAATAATTTTGAGAAAATTTACCTTCCCACACTAAGCTTATTAAGACCGCCTGTTTATTAATTTTTATTTGTTATCAACAAAATTATTTTATTTGAAACCATCTTTATAAGAGAAACATAGAAAATTTCGTGAAATGAGATTGATTTAGGTATCGTTTTAGTTATTCGTCTTTAACATGACATGTTATAAAGATGATTTCGAGTAAAATAAATTTGTTGATAACAAATAAAAACACATTGTGTTAAAAAAGGATAAATAAAGTCAGATCCGGGCAAACATTTATATTTAACTTGATATTTGATTTTAGAGACTTTGATTTTAGATATTTGATATTTGATTTTACAGATTTCTATGATATTTGATTTTACAGATT